CTGGTCTCAAACTCCTGAGCTCAATGTCTGCTGCCTCAGACTCCCAAGAAGTGGCTGGGATTACCTGGACAACATGGTGAAACACCATCTCTACTAAAAATACAAAAAATTAGCTGGATGTGGTGGTGTGCGTCTGGAGTCCCAGCTACTTGGGAGGCTGAGGTGGGAGAATCGCTTGAATGTAGGAGGTGGAAGTTGCAGTGAGCCGAGATCGTGCCACTGCTCTCCAGCCTGAGTGACAGAGCAAGATTCCAGCTAAAAAAAAATTAATTAATTAAAAATAAATTAAAAGTAAAGAGGCATGGTGGCTCACGCCTGTAATCCCAGCACTTTGGGAGGCCAAGGCAGGTGGATCACTTGAGGTCAGGAGTTCAAGACCAGTCTGGCCAACATGATGAGACCCCAGTGCAAAAATACAAAAATTAGCTGGATGTGCTTGTTTGAACCCAGGAGGCGGAGGTGGCAGTGAGCCGAGATCGCACCACTGCACTCCTTGAGACAGAGTAAGACTCTGTCTCAAAAAAATTAAAAATAAAGATAACGTGTTAGGGGGATGCCTGTACCATGGGAAGGGCTCATTGCTTTGTATATACCGGACTTGAAGGTTCTGGACACCAGGGTTACCTGGGCAGTGGCCACATTTAGGAAGTAATCGACCAGCTCCTTGGCGTTGTACTCGGGGCTGTGGGGGTCCTCTACCACTGGCTGATCGACACACAGCACATCCCAGCACAGATTCATTGGCGGGTTGTAACCGTTGGGAAGCACACCTGCAGGTCACACCAGGTTCAAGGGGTGGCCCATCACCCAGACCTGCCATGGTTTCAAAGCCTGCCATGTCCCACCCAGGATGGGCTTCAGAATTTGCATCCCAGTGCAAAAGGAAATGCAGAGACTTTGTTCCCAGAATATAGAAATTCCAGGACAGTGACGGCAGAGCAGATATCAAGCCCAGGGCCCTTCTGAGTGTGTGGCACCATGGCTGGCCCTGCCCTCACCAAGCCCCCTCACCAGTGAAGAGGTCCGCGGTCGGGGGCTTCAGGCTGGCACTGGCCCGCCACACCTGCTCCATCTCTAGCTTCTGCATCCGTACCCACTTATCTTGATAATCAAGGCGCCCGAAGAAGAAGCCGTCAAAGCCCATCTGGGGATGGGGGAGGAAAAGGCAGTGTGAATTAGCGCCCAGCCCTCTCACCACCAAACTCCCCTTTGCTTGGGAGGGACAGGTCAGAGCACAGGTTAAAAAGCAGAGCTAAGTCAGCGTGATGGCTCTTGCCTGTGATCCCAGCCTTCCGGGAGGCCAAAGCAAGAGGATCACTTATACCCAGGAGTTTTTGAGACCAGCCTGCACAACACAGACAGACTGTCTCTACAAAAAACTTAAAAATTAGCCAGGCGTGGTGGTGCGCTCTTGTAGTCTCATCTACTACGGAGGCTGAGACAGGGGAATCGCTTAAATCCGGAGATTGAGGCTACAGTGAGCTAGGATTGCACCACTGCACTCCGGCAGGGATGATAGGGATGTATCAACGAAACAAAACAAAACAAAAAAACGTAGGGCTGAAACAGAGGGGCCTCCAGCTTATTTCCAAGCTTGGGGAAGTTTCAGAACTCACTACCCTGGGCTAGCAGGGAGAGGGCGGGTCCAACATCAGAAACCAGGTTCACCTCCCCAGCGCTGTCAAAGCTCAGAGCAGGCCTGACTCCAGGAATGAGGTTCCCCCTTCCACAACCTGAGGATGGATGGGGTCTGAGCACAGGTAATGAAGCTGTTTTTAAGGCAGCCTAGGCATCTACTTGCCACCCAGTTTAGGGAGGAGCCATGATCCTAGCTAGTGGGTGGGGCCAGAACACGAAGGGGGGCCTATTAGGGGAGAGGGTGGAGTCAACCGGAGCTGGGTCCGCCTGGGGCTGGGCATAGCCGGCTGAGGCCAGAGCTCAAAAGTCACTGGCCTTACGGCCTCACTCAAGGGGCAGGGCTTCAACAGGCTTGGGCCTGGTCGTTGTGAGATTGCAGGGAGAGGGCAGGGTTTGAGTGGGCGAGGGAGGAGCCAGAGTGAGTGAAGAGGTGGGCCCAAGAGAGGTCCCGGGTCGCACCTGCGCAAACAGCGAGGCCTGCTCCCGAGAGTGGCCGAAGGGGTCAATGTGCCAGGCCACACGGGGTCGCCCGTCACTGCCAAATGTGTCCTCCAGAAAGCGCAGCCCGAGTGTCATCTGGTCCACGATGGCACCGTAGTGGGTGGCTGCCTCATCGTTCATCACCCAGCCACCGTTGGCGAACTCCAGGCGCCCTGTGCCAGGACAGGCAAGGTCGGGGTCAGTGGTCACAGCCAGGAATGGGACCAGGGTGGGTGATACTGGGAATGTGAAAGCCTGCCTGTGCACTCATTTCTGGCGGAAGGAAAAGAGGGGTCGCCCCCAGGCCAAAGTTCCCAGATAAGGGAAAGAGGCCCCGCTGCATGGCAGGCTTCCCAGAGGATGCATGGCAGATGGGGCCTTGTGGGATGTATAAGAGTTCTCGGCCGGGCGTGGTGGCTCACGCCTGTAATCCCAGCACTTTGGGAGGCCGAGGCGGGTGGATCATGAGGTCAGGAGATCGAGACCATCCTGGCGAACACGGTGAAACCCGGTCTCTACTAAAATACAAAAAATTAGCCGGGCGTGTTGGCGGGTGCCTGTAGTCCCAGCTACACGGGAGGCTGAGGCAGGAGAATGGCGTGAACCTGGGAGGCGGAGCTTGCAGTGAGCGGAGATCCCACCACTGCACTCCAGCCTGGGTGACAGAGCGAGACTCCGTCTCAAAAAAAAAAAAAAAAAAAAAGAGTTCCCCAAATGGAGAGTCCAGGCAGGCCGAGCAATATGCATGTTGCACAGCTTGCACATGGCATGATAAAATCTCAGAAACCAGAAATGCAGAAGCAGAAGCTGGGCTGGGCTTCCTCTTTTCACTTCCTTGGGGCAGACTCACCCTGGCGCACAAGGTCTCGCACGACTTCCCGCATGGCATTTGTCTGCTGGTGCCACCAACGGGAGAAGAAGGCAATCTCCACGTAAATGAAGCGACGGGTGGGATCTGCCAGCAAGGCAGAGATGACCGAGTCCAGGATGTACTGCACACCGGCGTGCTGGATGTCATTCTTGACTGTGGATAACAGGCATAAGGCTCTCAGGGCACAGCAGAGCCAAGGGGGTTATTCCTAGACACAGGAGCCCAAGTCCTGGATCTTAGGGTGACACTGGCCCCACCCTAATGTCCAGGACCCAGAAGGGATTACAGGGACCATGGGGATCCCAGGGACCAGTCCCCATCCTCTACTCACTTCCATAAAAGTACTGGTCCACGGTTTTGAGCCAGCCTACGTCATCATGTGTGTGAGGCACCAGGTGCACGTTCAGCATGTTCGGCTGCACTGTGGGGCATGTCTGCACAGGGACCCCAAACACACATACTTTGTCAATAACCCCGGATGTCGGGGGCTGCAAAGTAAGTCTTGATCTAGAGGTGAGTGACTCAGAGAGGCCTGATCTCGCCTATGTGCCGAGGAGGCCAGGCCCTCCCAGGCAGGACACACACATACATAGTTGTGCTCATAGATACAACCCCCACTTTGCACAACCCCATAGGGCAGCTCTCATTCACACTCTGGGAAAACAATAATAGAAGTAGCTGATGTTTGTTCAGCACTTGCCAACAGCAGACGGTCACCCTGGGAGGTGGGGTGATGTTATCCTCAGTTTCCAGATGAAAGCACTGGGACTCAGAGAGGATAGGTGACTTGCCCAACGTCACACAGTTAGGAAGTGGAAGAACTAGGCTGGAATTTCAGGCAGACTCTAGAGTCCCAGCTCTCAGCCAGCACCTCCCCCCACACATACACTGCTCACCTCCTGCCCCTCCAATCCCACAGTTAAGTGCAGGCAAAGTCCAGGCAAGCATCCCGGAGACACAGAGGCAGGTACAGACACAGTCCCATACTCAGATGCGCACAGCCAGACCTCGCAGTGACACAAAGCACGCACTAAGACCACACTGTCATATCATCAGCCATTCACTAGACACCCGCAGGACAGACCCACCCACACCTCTAGACTGTATTTGGTGTTTCACTCTGCCTCCTGTACGTTTCCGCTCGGAGGCCCCACTCACCTCGTATCCCCCGGCCCGAGCACCGGGAGCCGCCAGCAACAACAAAAGGAAAAAGCAGAGAGGCGGGAGCGGTGGCCGCAGGGCGCGGGAGATGGTCCAGGGGCCTGCTGCGTCCAGGCAGCCCCGAGCGCTGACCCCCGCAGCCCGCGCGTAGGCGCCCATGGCTCAGCAGCTTCCTCCTGGGGTTCCACGGCCCTGGAAAGGCCGAGCAAACGCCCCGCCCCGAGACCCGGCCGGGCCAATCGGGGGGCAGGGGCGGGGCCAGGGCGCGGTCTGGCGGCTCACGGGACAGAGGCTGTAGCACTCCGCAATCCCGGGGGTCATTATAGGAAGGTAGGAAAATGCCACCCTCAGGGCACTTGTTGGACTAAAGGTGACTTTGACGTCTCACGGGCTATAACGAGTCTTGGAATGCTTGGAATCCTGGAAGGACCTAGCTTGCCTAAGAGGAGGATTTGATAAGAGTCCTATACTGTGGGGATTAGGACGTTGGGTAAGTACCCTTGGAGAACCGGGGATGGGATCCAGCCTGGTTGAGAAGGATCCCTGGGTGTTCTGGAGAGGAAAGGGGGTCTGATAAGTGGGGAAAGACCCCGAGTCTTTCACGCCTTTCCCAATTCCTACCAGTTCATTCTCCGATAGAAAACAAAGCCCAGGCCAAGGGCAGTGGCTCAAGCCTGCAATTCCAGCACTTTGGGAGGCCCAGGCTGGTGGATCGCTTGGGCCCGGGAGTTTGAGACCAGCCTGGGCAACATGGGTTGTTTTGTAGAGACGGGTTTGAAAACACAGAATTTGTAATTTTACACAAAATGCAAAAATACAAAAATTAGCTGAGTATGGTGGCACATGCCTGTAATCCCAGCTAGTTGGGAGACTGAGGCAGGAGAATCGCTTGAACCTGGGAGGCGGAGGTTGCAGTGAGCTGAGATCAAGATCATGCCATTGCACGCCAGCCTGGGCAACAAGAGTGAAACTCTGTCTCAAAAAAACAAAAATAACTGGGCATGGTAGCACGCATGTGTGCTCCCAGTTATGTGGGAGGCTGAGATGGGAAGATTGCTTAAGCCCAGGAGTTTGAGGTTGCAGTAACCAGAGATTGTGCCACTGCACTCAGCCTGCATGGCATATCTTTTTTTAAGAAAAAAAGAAAAAAAAATGGAAACCAAAGCCCAGATTATCTAGGTCATCAGGGCCATCTGGTGAGTTGCCAGAGGGCAGAAGTCACTGTCTTGTTCCTTGTGACTTAAGACACAAAGTTTATGAAGTAAGCAAGCGAACAGCCAGAAGTCTCCAGACTGGGGCTCCACACCAGGCCTATGGAGCTAGAGCCCTTCCCCCCAGCTAGAAGGAATGCCCCAATGAACAGAAGAGGCTGACAGCCAGAGTGAAAAACTTTATTATTAACAGGTGACAACAAGAAAGCAAATGAATACCCTTAGAACATGGACAGCATCTCCCCCAGCAGCAGGCAGGGGAAAGGAGGCAGGAGGGGTAGGCCTAGGGTGTTCCCTAGGAAAGGGCCAGGTTCCCTCCATCCAGCTGGAGGCACTGAGACGGCCTCATTCAGGGAAGTCCAGGATGGCAGCTGAGGGCAGCAGGTTGAGCAGCCAAAGCCCAGGCCTGGTGGATAAACAGGGTCCAAAATGTGACCTTTCTAGGCTGATATCACCACGGGGGCGTCATGGGCTGAGGATTCTGCAGATAGGACATCACCACGGCAGAGATGGACAGCCTGAGACAGGAGAGAGGTGTCAGTCCAGGATGGGCAGGCTGGAGTCCCCCCACCCCTTACTCAAGAGTCACTCGTTCTCTAGGCCAAGTCTCACATGAAGCTACTCATCATTTGCTTCGTGTCCTCCGAGCTCCGAGAGTTGGCAAAGCTGATGAAGGAGCAGTAGACAGCGACCCAAGCACACCATTTCAGCTGGGGAAAGGTAGGTGGGTGGGCAGGTCAGTGAAAGGCACAACAATGAGTCCCGAAGCCACCTGTCCAGACACCAGTTCATGCCCACTGATTCCATCTGATGCAGCTGGGACCTTGCCCCCGGAACTCCTCAGTCCCACCTGCTCATGGCATACTCCAGATACGTGGTTTCTAGTCCTACTGCCTGGACCGCGTCTCTCAGGGCCAAGACTCTGACATTCCACATGCTTAAGACCCTGCCCCTTTCCACGAGTCCCCTCCAAGTTGCTTCAAAGCCTGGCCCCACCCGCAGACCAATCTGCCACATCCCCGCGCTGACCCGAATTCTTGACTTCACCCAAGACTGGGGCTTTCTTGGCCCAGCGTCATCCCAGCCCCACTCCCGGCCGATCTCAGGTCCTGCCTCATCAGCAATGACAAGACGCCCGGCTTCATTCCAAACCCGCCCCCGGGCCTCGTTCTCAGGTCCAACTACACCCATAGAAGCTCAATCCCGCCCACCTTAAGCATGAGGCCGCACATGCTGAAGATCATGCCCAGCAGGTTCATGTAGTCCGGCGTCGGGTCGTCCAAGGCCGGGTTACATTCGCTGGGCGGGGGCTTGTACCTGCGACAGGCTCGAGGGTCAGGGGCGCTCAGGTTCTGTCCCCGGGATAGACAGACGCTTCCCAGGGCCCCGATCCACACCCCCAACCCGAACCCGTGGCCACGACGCTGGCGTCCTCACCTAAGCACTTTGTTCGGCCTCCGTGGGTCCGACATATTGTTAGTAGACATAGCGAGTCGAAGGCCAGGTCACGCCTCTTCCGCTGCAGAAATTGCAGCTTCCGGCGTGCACGCTGAGGGCGGATTTTAGAGTAACACCCGAGGCCCTCACATTTCCGTTCCTAATGACAGAGGCTTGGACTCCTCCTACCCAGAGAACGGAAATTTAGGAGAATCCAGAAGTCTTCCTTGCAAAGGGGAAATGGGGAAAAGAACCTGAAACCGGGCTTCAATAGTTCCAACAAGAGCACCCAAATGCCAAAATGATGAACCCGGAAGTGATAAACAGGAAGTAGGTCAGGAAGAACAATAATAAGGTTACACCCAAGCGTGGGTTTCGAAGGCGCGGAATCTTCCATACAGACCGATTTAAGGCGGCGAGGAAGGGGTCCTGGGACCATGGCTTTCCCTGAGCCAAAGCCGCGGCCTCCGGAGCTGCCGCAGAAACGGTTGAAGACGCTGGACTGCGGGCAAGGGGCGGTGCGAGCCGTACGATTTAATGGTGAGCGCCTTAGTCTTCATTCCGGGTCCTCCTCCCGCCTCCTGAGGTCGGCGGCCCAGTAACCCCCGCCTGGTGTTCCCCAGTGGATGGCAATTACTGCCTGACGTGCGGCAGTGACAAGACCCTGAAGCTATGGAACCCGCTTCGGGGGACGCTGCTGCGGACGTACAGCGGCCACGGCTACGAGGTGCTGGATGCGGCCGGGTGAGCCGGGGGCCAGGCTGGGATGGGAGCGCTGAGGCTGGGATCCGAGGTCGATGCTGATCTTCCTCCTCCTGTACTCCAGCTCCTTTGACAACAGCAGTCTCTGCTCCGGCGGCGGGGACAAGGCGGTGGTTCTGTGGGATGTGGCATCAGGACAGGTCGTGCGCAAATTCCGGGGCCATGCAGGGGTGAGTGAAAGCCTGGAGACCCTCATTCGAGCGAAGGGGACCCGTATTAGCGCATAGGTGGTGATGAGGCCACCCCCATTACACCGTAAGGATCCCTTCCCCAGATGACGATCCCCCGCTCCGCATGCCAGGCTAGGCAGTCACCAACCCCTGTCCTTGCTGTTCCCCCAAAACCTTTCACCTCCCTTTCTAACCTTTGCCCTTGCTTTAACCGACACTGGGAACCCTGCCTTTATCCCAGTCCTCCAAAGTCCAGCCTCCTCTGAGTGGCAATAACTTTCTCAGAAGGTGAACACGGTGCAGTTTAATGAAGAGGCCACAGTTATCCTGTCCGGTGAGTCTGGGACCTACGCAGGGGGGTCCAGGATGCTGCCCTTCCCCTCCAAACCTGACCTCACCATCATGCTGGCCTCACAGGCTCTATTGATTCCAGTATCCGCTGTTGGGATTGCCGCTCACGGAGGCCTGAGCCCGTGCAGACGCTGGATGAGGCCAGAGATGGCGTGTCCAGTGTGAAGGTGTCAGACCACGAGGTCCTGGCAGGGTGAGTGGAGCCAGGACCTGGTCTCAGCCGAGGTGCTACTGGGAATCATAGCTGCCCCCATGCTCAGATTAAAACCTACTCTCAGCTGGGCACAGTGGCACACAGCTGTAGTCTCAGCTACTTGGGAGGCTGAGGTGGAAGGATCACTTGAGCCCAAGAGTTTGAGGGACCACTGCACTCCATGCTGGGTGAAAGTGAGACTGTCTAAAAAATAAAATAATCATCAAGCCCGGCGCGGTGGCTCACGCCTGTTAATCCCAACCTCTGGGAGGCTGAGGCAGGCGGATCCTGAGGTCAGGAGATCGAGACCATTTCTGGCTAACACGGCTGAAACCCTGTCTCTACTAAAAATTCAGGCCGGGCGCGGTGGCTCAAGCTTGAATCCTAGCACTTTTGGGAGCCGAACGGGCGGGGATCACGAGTCAGGATGATCGAGACTCCTGGCTAACATGGTAGTAAACCCGTCTCTACTAAAAATACAAAAAAACTAGCCGGGCGTGGTTGGTGGGCTTCCTGTAGTCCCAGCTACTCCGGAGGCTTGAGGGCAGGAGAATGGCGTAACTGGGAGGCGGAGTTGCAGTGAGCCGAGACTGCGCCACTGCCTCCAGTCTGGGTGACACAAGCGCGAGACTCCGTCTCAAAAAATAAAAATAAAAAAATTAAAATAAATAAAATAAATAAAATAAATGTAATAAATCCAAGCGGGCATGGTGGCTCACACCTATAATCCCAGCACTTTTGGAGGACCGAAGGAGGGCACATTTCACTTGAGGTCAGGGAGTTTGAGACCAGCCTGGCCCACATAGTGAAATCCCGTCCTACTAAAAATAAAAAAATTAGCCGGGTGTTTGAGTGATGGGAGGCCTGTTTAATCCCAGTACTTGGGAGGGCTGAGGCGCAGAAGAATACCTGAACCCGGGAGTTGGAGGTTTGCAATGAGCCGAGATTGTGCCACTGACAGCTCCAGCCTGGGCAACAGAGTGAGACTCGTCTCAAAAAAAAAAAAAAAAAGATAAAATGAAACGATTTAAAAAAATTAAATAAAATAGGACCGGGGTGCGGGTGGCTCACGCCTGTAATCCAACACTTTGGGAGGCTGAGGCAGGCGGATCCTGGAGGTCAGGAGATCGAGACCATTCTGGCTAACACGCTGAAACCCTGTCTCTTACTAAAAATTCAAAAATTAGGCTGGGCGTAGTGGGCAGGTTGCCTGTAGTCCCCAGCTACTCGGATGTGAGGGCAGGAGAATGGCGTGAACCGGGGAACGGCAGAGCTTGCAGTGAGCCAGATTGCGACCGCTACCACTCCAGCCTGGGCATCAGAGCGAGACTTCGTCTCAAAAATAAAAAACAAAATAATATTTTTAAAAATATCATTAAGAAATTTTTTTTTTTTTTTTTTTTTTTTTTTTTTTTTTTTTTTTGAACGAGTCTCGCTCTGCCCCAGCTGGAGAGTGTGTCCGGACTCAGCTCACTGGCTCTGGCTGTGTGTTCCGCCATTCCCTGCCTCAGCCTCCTGAGTAGCGGATACAGGCGCCCGCCACCGCCGCCCGGCTAGTTTTTTGTATTTTTTTAGTAGAGTTCACCGGTGTAGCCAGGAATGGTCTCATCTCCTGACCTCGTGATCCGCCCGTCTCGGCCTCCCAAAGTGCTGGGATTACAGGCTTGAGCCACTGCGCCCGGCTTTTTTTTTTTTTTTAAAGATAGAGTCTCTGTCGCCAGGCTGGAGTACAGCGACGTGATCTTGGCTCACTGCAACCTCCAACTCCCGGGTTCAGGCAATTCTCCTGCCTCAGCCTCCTGAGTAGCTGGGACTACAGGCATATGCCACCACGCCTGGCTAATTTTTGTATTTTTAGTAGAGACGGGGTTTCAACGTCTTGGCCAGGCTGGTCTCGAACTCCTGACCTCAAGTGATCCGCCTGCCTCGGCCTCCTAAAGTGCTGGAATTACAGGCGTGAGCCACCGCGCCCGGCCGAAATAATATATTTTCTATTCATTAAGTGGAAGTGAAGAGATCATCATAAAGATCTTCACATTGAGAAGGCAGAGGAGAAGGAGGAGGAGGGGTTGGTCTTGGTGTCTCAGGGCTGATAGAGGCAGAAGAAAATCCACATATAAGTGGACTCCTTCAGTTCAAACCATGTTGTTCATGGATCAACTGTACTTTGAAAAGTGCTCCCTCTGGTGGCTGTGGGGGTGCAGGGAGACCAGAGCAGTCTAGATGGTGGTGCTGGGTAGTGGGGAAAGTGGTGGGACTGAGTACTGAGGAGGAGGAGCTGGAGAATACAGAAGGGGGAATTGGGCCAGGTGGGGTGGCTCATGCCTGTAATCCCAGCACTTTGGGAGGCTAAGGCGGGCGGATCACCTGAGGTTGGGAGTTCAACACCAGCCTGACCAACATGGAGAAACCCTGTCTCTACTAAAAATACAAAATTAGCAGGGCATGGTGGCGCATGCCTGTAATCCCATCTACTCAGGAGGCTAAGGCAGGAGAATCGTTTGAACCTGGGAGGCAGAGGTTGCAGTGAGCCGAGATCAGGCCATTGCACTCCAGCCTGGGCAACAAGAGCAAAACTCTCTCGAAAAAAAAAAAAAAAAGAAAGAAAAGGGAGAATCGGAAGGTCGCCAAGGGTTTGGAAAAGGGGTGTGGGTCTTGGAAACGATGCAGTAAGACCTGACTGGCCCTGGGCCTGAGTCTCAAGGCCAGAGCTTCAGAATTCCACTCCTGTGCACTGGAAGAGCAGGCCCAGCGGGCTGGGAAGGCACAGGGCTGCCTGGAGCCATGGAGCCTAGTCAAGGCTCCCGCTGGATCTACCCTCTCCCGCAGCTCCGTGGACGGCCGCATGAGACGCTATGACCTGAGGATGGGCCAGCTCTTCTCAGACTACGTGGGCAGTGAGTGTGGCCGGAGATGTGAGACAGGCAGGGAAGATGGGGGGCCAGCCAGGGGCACCCCAGCCTCACTCACCTGTCCGTCCCTCCTCCAAGGCCCCATCACCTGCACCTGCTTCAGCCGGGACGGGCAGTGCACCCTGGTGTCCAGTCTGGACTCCACATTGCGGCTCCTGGACAAAGACACAGGCGAGCTGCTGGGCGAGTGAGTCCTTGTGGTGGTGGGGATCTCTTCCCTCCTCTCCCACCTCTGGAGAGGACCAAGCCCCCCGATCCTGTCCACCCTTAGGTACAAGGGCCATAAGAACCAGGAGTACAAGCTGGACTGCTGCCTAAGCGAGCGTGACACACATGTGGTCAGCTGCTCTGAGGACGGGAAGGTGTTCTTCTGGGACCTGGTGGAGGTGAGGTGCCCCCAGCCCTATTTCATACCTGAAGGCTAGGATCTTCTTTTTTCTCTTTTGAGACAAGTCTTGCTCTGTCGCCCAGGCTAGAGTGCGGTGGCCCGATCTTGGCTCACTATAAACTCCGCCTCCCAAATTCAAGCGATTCTTCTGCCTCAGCCTTCTGAGTAGTTGGGATTGTAGGTGCATGCCACCATGCCCAGCTAATTTGTGTATTTTTAGTAGAGACAGGGTTTCACCATGTTGGTCAGGCTGGTCTTGAACTCCTGACCTCATGATCCGCCCACCTCAGCCTTCCAAAGTGCTGGGATTACAGGCCTGAGCCACCACGCCTGGCCCTTTTTCCTTTTTTTGAGATGGAGTCTCATGCTGTTGCCCAGGCTGGAATGTGGTGGCGCCATCTCAGCTTACTGCAACCCCTGCCCCCCAGGGTTCAGGTGATTCTCATGTCTCAGCCTCCCGAGTAGCTGGGATTACAGGCCCCCACCACCACACCTGGCTAATTTTTGTATTTTTAGTACAGACAGGGTTTCACCATGTTGGCCAGGCTGGTCTCAAACTCCTGACCTCAAGTGATCCACCCGCCTCGGCCTCCCAGAGTGCTGAGATTACAGGCCTGAGCCACCGTGCCCAGCTTGGGCTAGATGAGGTGAGGCAGGAAGGGCATTCCAGGCAAAGGGAACAGCATATGTTGTGTAGAGGTGTGGCCAGCGCATGCATCAGTCAGGAAACAAAGGCTTCAGGGTGGCGGCAGCTGCGGCAAGATCCAGGTTAGGCTGGGCCACAGATGCCAGGCCAAGCAACTGGCACTGACCCCTGGGCAAGGGGGAGCCGATGGCCATGTCTAACCCTGGGTGAGACAGGGCTGTAGTCATTCAAGAAACTGGAGCTACATCTGAGCATCCCTGTGCATGTTTTCAAGCCCTGAGCCCTGTCCTTGACATGTCCCAGCCTGGTGGGGAGTTAGGCCAGAAATAGACCATCCTGGTGTAGTGGGGTCAGAACTGGGGGAATCTCGGCCAAGGAGACATCAGCGCTGGGCTTGGCCAGGGGAACTAAGGCCCGTAAGAGGATGGAGGGAACCGGAGGCCCCTGGACTTGGCAGACAAGCTCTTGCTTTAGGAACTAAGATAGCAAGAATGTTCCACCTATTTCTTGTGGGCCCAGTAGAACAGAAGTTGCATTGGAGGGCAGACACATCAAGGGACATTTTCAAGGTGGAAAGAGGAACCATGGCTTGCTTGAGGAACTGTTTGCATTGGTGCTGACCAGGGGAAGTGGGGATCATGGGTGCTGCCAAGTGGACAGGATGGAGCCCAGCTTGTGGCAGGGAACACGTAAGCTGCGAGCAAGGCATGCTCCAAGCATGGTAGTGGCAGAAAATCAGCGGTCTCTGGACACAGTCTAGAAGCAGAGCCAAGAGGAATGACTGATAGAGGAACGTGTGGTACAAGAAAAAGACTCCCGGCCAGGAGCAGTGACTCACGCCTGTCATCCCAGCACTTTGGGAGGCCGAGGGGGGTGGATCCATGAGGTCAGGAGATGTAGATCATCCTGGCCAACATGATGAAACCCCGTCTGTACTAAAAATACAAAAATTAGCTGGGCATGGTTGTGTGTGCCTGTAATCCCAGCTACTTGGGAGGCTGAGGCAGGAGAACCCCTTGAACCAGGGAGTTGGAGGTTGCACTGAGCCGAGATCGCACCACTGCACTCCAGCCTGTCAACAGAGCAAGACTGTCTCAAAAAAAAAAAAAGAAAAGAAAAAGGCTCCCAAAGCCAGGCACGGTGGCTCACACCTGTAATCCCAGCACTTTGGGAGGCCAAGGCAGGAGGATCACTTGAGGCCAGGAGTTCCAGACCAGCCTGGTCAACATGGTAAGACCCCATCTCTGTTATTTTAAAAAATGAAATGTCAATAAAAGAGGCTCCCAAGACATGCAGCCTGAACACCTGGTAGGACAGAGCTACTGTGGGTCTCAGTCTGGGGTAGGTTCATTTTGCAGTGTCCAGGAGGCAATTAGAGGCAGGTGGCTGAAGGTCAGGCGAGAGGTGACTGAGAGCTTCAGGCAGGACTGAGATGGGGGGTGCCCAGGGACCTCAGGAATGAGGGGACAGCCCAGCCACAAATAACCACTCCCTACCCCTCGCTCCACAGGGTGCCCTGGCTCTGGCCCTGCCTGTGGGTCGTGGCGTGGTGCAGTCGCTGGCCTACCACCCCACGGAGCCCTGCCTGCTGACCGCCATGGGGGGCAGCGTCCAGTGCTGGCGGGAAGAGACCTATGAGGCAGAGGATGGAGCAGGCTGAAGCCAGGGGACCCACCAACAGGACCAAGGACCGAGACACAGATGCGGAAGGACTGCAGAGACCATTTTATTCTAGAGACGTGGCTGACCAAAAAGTAGGGGAGGGGCTGGGTCTGCAAATTAATAAATAGAGGAGGGGGTAAGACCTTGGGACAGCAGCTGCTCAGTCCTCGTTCTTCTCATGCATGAAGGCATCTATCTTCTGGGCAAAGGTTTCAGCCACGAGCAGGGGGAAGACCAGGGAAGCGTCGGCATAGACCTGGGTAGGGGGGAAGCTGGGTAAGCCATGGGACCCACGCCCAAGGTCCCGAAGACCCTGTGCCCCACCCTGTCAGCCCTTACCTTGACGGGCTGTGCATCCACCCGGATCTTGCCCCAGGAGACAGCCTCGTCTGGTCGGGCACCCGAGTCGGAGCCATCAAACTCCTGGGCTGTGTTGATGTAGACAGCATAGTCGGCCCCGTTCCGCTGTGGGGAGAGGAGGGGCACGGCGGGCCCAGTCAGCCAGTCACAGGAGACAGACACAGAGGGAGGACACCATAGCCAAACAGGCTGAGAGGTGTGTCCCAGATGAAGGAAGCCCTTTGCAGACCCTCGCTCCCAGACAGGGCCCATGTCAATGTCTGGGGTCACTAGAGCTGCTGGGCAACAACGGCCCGTGTTTCCCCAGACCCAGCAGCCAGGTGTCAACAACCCTGCCCCATCGGCAAGGCAGGAGCTGCCAGCAACTGTATCCTCAGAAGCCCTCCAAATCCAACCACCTCCCGCCTCCACGGGGCCCATCCTGATCCCTGCATGGTCACCACCGTCCTGGACTGGAGTTTTTCCTCACCCGCCACCATCTGTTCACCACATGGCCACCAGGGGGAGCATGGGAACCCGAGTCAAGTCCTCTCCCACCTCCCTCAGGGCAAAGACCAAAGCCGCGCCTCAGCCCACAGGGCCCAGCAGACTGCCTGTGGCACCTCGCTGCATCACCTCCTGGCCCTCATCACTCCACTTTCCCTCACCAGGTTCCCAGCTGTTCCGGGATTACTTCAGGCACCCCAGAGCCTTTGCACTGGCTGTTCCCTCTCCTGGGAACTTTGCAATCCAGAAGCTCAATCCTACCACAGCAGCTGCAACTCCTAGCACGGGAGACAACCACATGGCTCCTGGGAGATGCCTCCCCAAACCCCTGCTCCCAGCTCATACTTCCAGAAGCCTCCTTCCAAAACCCCTTGTTAGACAGAACCCCTTTCTCTTATCCCATCATCTAGTATTCTCCATAGCAATGACTGCCCCGACATGGATGTCACTTGTTTGCTATCTCCCCTACTAGAACATCAGTCTCAGGGGAGCAGGGATCCTGGTTTGTCTAGTTCATGCTGTCTCCCCAGCGCATGGCATAGGCCGAGCACACAGCACGTCTGCACAGTGGGCCGAAGCACCACCCCCACTCACCATGAGGTTGGCATTGGCGATGTGGTGCTTGACCACACCCCCGCCCAGAATGATCATCCCAGTGCCCTTGGCAAAGATGGCCTGCGTGTTGATGAGCCTCAGGTCTGGGGAAAGAGGGTCTAAGTCAGGCCCTGGACTCAGCCGGCCCTCCTTCCCGTCTCCTCTGTGGCCCCAGCGCCTCACCCTCAACGATGTCCAGGACCAGGCCCGGGTTCTTGTAGGAATGGAAGAAGATCATGTCGCCCAGCGAGCCGTCTGTAAGTGCGGGACTAAACACAGGGATGTGGTTCTGCAGAGAACATAACAGGACAGTGGCTGGAGCTCAGAGCCTTGTCCCCATGCTGGCTGCATCACTCTCTGACTGTGGGCGGGGTGCCTAATTTATCTAGGACTGTTTCCTCAATTATAAAATAAGCGTAACAGTAACACCTCTCACAGATGAGGCCTATATGAGAAAACCCACAGAAAATACTTAGGATAGTGCCCAGCACGTAAAGAACCAGCCTATTCTTAGCTTGCTGAGCTGTTTCTTTCTCTCTTTTTTTTCCTGAGATGGAGTTTCACTTGTTGCCCTGGCTGAAGTGCAATAGCACAATCTTGACTCACTGCAACCTCTGCCTCCTGGGTTCCAGTGATTCCCCTGCTTCAGCCTCCGGAGTAGCTAGGATTACAGGCATGTGCCACCACACTCAGCTAATTTTGCTTTTTTTTTTTTTTAGTAAAGATGGGGTTTCACCATGTTGGCCGGGCTGGTCTTGAACTCCTGACTTCAGGTGATCCACCACTTCGGCCTCCCAAAGTACTGGGATTACAAGCATGAGCCACCGCGCCCGGCCCTCTATCTCTTTTCTAAAGAGCCAGCTTTTGGCCGGGCGCGATGGCTTGCGCCTATAATCCCAGCACTTTGGGAGGCCAAGGCGGGTGGATCGCCTGAGGTTGGGAGCTCGAGACCAGCCTGACCAACATGGAGAAACCCCGTCTCTACAAAAAATGCAAAATTAGCCAGGCGTGGTGGCACATGCCTGTAATCCCAGCTACTTGGGAACTTGGGAGGCTGAAGCAGGAGAAATGCTTGAACCCAGGAGGTAGAGGTTGCTGTGAGCCAAGATCGCACCATTGAACTCCAGCCTGGCCAACAAGAGTGAAACTCTGTTTAAGTCTGTGAAGAGCCATACTCTGTCTCAAAAAAAAAAAAGACAAAACAAGGCCGGCCGTGGCTCACGCCGTAAATCTCACAATTTTGGGAGCTAGGGGGCGGATCACCTGAGGTCGGGAGTTCGAGACCAAGCTGGACAACATGGAGAACCCGTCTCTACAAAAAGACCAAAATAGCCAGGCGTCACGCGTGGTGCATGCCTGTAATCTCACTACTTTGCAGGCTGAGGCAGGCAGAATTGCTTGAACCTGAGACGACGGAGGTTGCGTGAGCCAAAATTGCGCCATTGCACTCTACAGCTTGGGCAACAGAGTGAAACTCTGTCAAAAAAATGGTGGGGGCAATCTGAACGCGATGTCTGAATCTGTCTGGGAAGGGGAAGTTGCACAGGAGAGTGTCCTTGTCCCTGTAGCAACTGGTCCTGTATCCCTGACTGGCAGGAGCTGGGGTGAATCTGTTTCTCGGACCACCTGGAGTCCCTGGGTCTGACATTTACGCCACGTGCTCTAACTCGACCTGGTCTTACTCTCAAGATTGAGAAGAACGCTGGAACACTGTACAGGATGAAGACCAGCATGCAGACCTGACAGAGCCGCCGCCCACTTACCGCTGCAGCCATTTTCCCCCTGGGATATAATCCAACCATCAGTCCAGCATCGTGAGACCAATTCGCTTACTTGTGCAAGCACAACATGGTGGGACCTGGTGGGGGCGTGGCCTTGGCATCTGCGGGTCAATGGGCGATGCAAGTTCATTGATCGTTAAGCTGAGATGGGGAGATAGGAGTCTTTATAAGCAGAGGAACAGAAATCGAGTTTTTGTTTTGTAGCAGAGCATCCCTGGTAGGAGTCACTGGACAAGATGAGGTAGAAGTCCTGCCCAGAAATGAGGCCGGGGCTTCTTCTTGGGCCAACTTCACTGGCCCTGTGGCTGCAGTGATTGTATTGGTGACCACACAGCTGCGCGCGTGGAGGAGGACCTCAATCACAGGTGCCTGGCGCCGCACCATACTTTGGCGCGGAGTTTAGCCTCAGGGGGCAAGGACTCCGGGAGAACGGAATCAATAGGGAGAACCTGAGTGGATGGCGCGGAGTGAAGCTGGACCAAGGGTCCTGGGCTGATGCCCACATGACTTCCTGTCCTCAGGATCCGGAAACTGCTGTGCCCAATGACAATTACTTGCAAAGTTTGAGGAACTGGCTGATGCCCCATTCTGGTACCCAGACTGCGACTGCCTGAGCAGAACACAGAGGTGGGGCCTGGGCAACCTGCGAGGGGCCAGCGTCCAGTGGGGAGTCAGGGGAGGCTGGCATGAAGCTCATATCCTCTCCTAGGGTGGTAAACGTGGCACGCCACTAAGATGAATCGCCCGGCCTGGGCAAGGAGATCAACAACCCAGAGGCCGTGTACTTACTGGGCCCAGAAGGTAAGGGACCTAAAGCGGGGGCAAAGTACCAACTTTGACATGGGGTACTGTCATCTTTTCCAGGCCACAACTGGGGATTCAACCTGTATCTCAGTCATCCTCACGCTTTGATGGGTACGACTACACACAGATAAGCATGGTAAATTTTTTTTTCTTTTGTTTCTTTGAGACAGGACTCTGGTCCTGTCACCTAGGCTTGCGAGTGAGGCGCAGTGCAGTGATCACACGCTCAACTGCAGCCCTCACTCCTGGGCGTCAAGCATCCTCCCACACTCAAGCCTCCGACGTAGCTGGGACCGCACAGGACACATGCCACCCTGACCAGCTAATTTTAAAATTGTCTTGTAGACGATGGGGCGTGGGCTCCGATGTTGCCCTGGCTGGTCTTGAACTCCTGGCCGTCAGCATCCTCCCACCCTTGGCCCTCCCAAAGTGCGCTGGGATTAAGGCCATCGAGCCACTGTGACTGGCCAGGCTAGGTAATTTTGTCCAAGTTCACCACGCATAACTAGTGCGGGGCCTCACAGCCTTACTGCTCCTCCCAGACTATCTCTGGAACAGTAGGGCGCGCGGCGCACACTTAGCGACTCCCCTGGAGAGCCTGGACCGGTCAACCACACTCCAGGCTTATAAATACAGAGAGAGCACTCCACTTTAATAGAGAAATCAGAATCTGGAAAAAAGAAAAGGCTGCCACCCCTTTTTTTGAGACGGAGTCTCGCTGCTGATTTCCCGGAGTGGAGTCGCAGTGCGATCTTGGCATCTCTGCAAGCTCCCCCTCCTGGGTTTACTGCCATTTCCCTGCCTCAGTCTCCCAAGTAGCTGGGACTCACCAGGCGTCCGCCGACACGCCCAGCTAATCTTTGATTTTCAGTAACAAAACGGCGTTTGAAGGGGACAGGGGGGGGGGGCGGGGAGGGGGGGGGAGCGGGAGAGGGGGGGGGGGGGGGGGGGGAGGGATGACTTACGCACAGGCTGTCTCGATCTACCTGACCTCCAGTGATCCGCACACCTCGTCCCTAACCTAGGCCTCCCAAAGTGCTGGGATTAACGTGCGATGAGCACGTGCCCAGCCTTATTTTTTTGTTTTTTTGACAAGAGTCTTAATCTGATCACCCAGTGCTGGAGTGCCATGCGTATGAGTTTCAGCTCTCACGCAACCTCCGCCTCCCAGGTTAAAGTGATTTCCCGCCTCACCTACTGACTAGCTGGGCGTTACAGCGGCCACGCATCATGCCCAGCCACTAATTTTGTCGTATTCTTCTGTACAGCATGGGGGTCACCAGTTGGCCAGGCTGGTGTGAACCCTGACCTCAAGTGATCCGCCCGCCCTTGCCGTCCCAAGTACTTGATTACAGATGTGAGCCACCTACCGCCTACCTATCTTTCTTTTTTACGAGACAGGGTCTCATCTGTTGCCCAGGCAGGCGAGTGCAATGACACAATAATGACTCACTGCGTCTTGAGCTTCTGGCGCTCAATCCGATTCTCCTGCCTCAGCCTGCCCTGAGTCAGCCTACAGGTGCTTGCCACCATGCCTGGCTAATTTTTTTTGTAGAGATGGGGACTTACCTATGTTGTACAAGCTGGCTCTTTTTTTTTTCTTTC